AGACTTCAGCGTTTGCTGCCTGTGATGGGTCTGTGAAATACAGGGAGATCTGGGGAAAAGAGGTAGAAGGAAAGTGAAGGGGGGAAGGAGCACTGGTGAAAGAAACCTATGAACACAAGGGGGGGTGTAAGAGCAAGGCTGGTGGAACTACAGGAGGTGAAAAAGCACATGCCTGACAAAAGGTGATGTGGTGGGTTGACCTTGGCTGGCAAACAGCTGCCCATCAAGCCTATCTATTGCTCCTCCATCAACAGGACAGGGGGAGAAAATACAATGAAAAGCTCATGGGTTGAGATAAGGACAGTGAGGTTACTTACCAATTACTGTCACTGGCAAAAGAGACTCAACTTGAGGAAATTAGTTTTATTTGTTACCAATTCATTGTAACAGAGTAGGACAGTGAGAAAAAAACAAAACTAAAAACCTTCCCCCACCCTCCCTTCTGTTGACTCAACTTCACTCCCAAATCTTCTACTGACGAGCAGTGCAGGGGGACAGGGAATGGGGGTTGCAAACTGTTCATAATGCTTCATCTCTGCCATTCTTTCTTTCTCACACTCTTTCCCTTCTCCAGTGTGGGGTCCCACCCACAGAATACAGTCCTTCATGAACTTCTCCAACATGGGTCCTTCCCATGGGCTGCCATTCTTGAAGAACTGCTCCAGCATGGGGCCTTTCCACGGGGTGGAGTCCATCAGGAACAGACTGGTCCAGCGTGTATCTCCCAAGTGCCACAGGTCCCGCCAGAAAACTTGTTCCTGCGTGGTCTCCTCTCCACAAGCTGCAGCCTCCTTCAGGATATATCCACCTTCTCTACTGTGGGGTCCTCCACAAGCTGCAGGGTAGATATCTGCTCCACCATGGTTCTCCATGGGCTGCAGGGAGACAACTTGCATCATCACCATGATCTTCACCACGAACTGCAGGGGAATCTCTGCTTCTGTGCCTGGAGCACCTCCTTCCCCTCCTTCACTCACCTTGGTGTTTGCAGTTTCTCTCACATATTCTCATTCCTCTCTCCCAGCTGCTGTTGTGTAGTATTTTTTACCCTTTCTTAAATGTGTTATCACAGAGGTGCTACCAACATCATTGACTGGCTCAGCTTTGGCCAGCGGTGTGTCCATCTTGGACCCAGTTGAAACTGGCTCCACCTGACATGGGGGCAGCTTCGTTTTTTTTCTCACAGGAGCCACCTGTGTAGAGTGCACACATGCACACACACACACCTCCAAAACCTTGCCACAAAGCCCCAGGTACCTTTGTTTTTTGTAAATAATTGATTCCTGTCCCTGCCACCATGCTCTGCTCTTTCCGACTGCTCAACTCTTCTCCCCAAACAGTAGCAAGTGCTTGCATGTAACAAATGAAGAGCCAGTCCTGAAGCTGATGCACAGCCTCTGCAATAGCTCAGCTGCCCAACTGAATGATTTCAGTAGTTCCCACTTCTCCCACCCCCACCCGCTCCTCACCCCTCCCACAAAACATTTGGCTGAAAGGGAGAGGCATACATCATTGCAAGGACAGCCCTGTTGCTGGAAAGGCCTTTGCAATTACAGATACTCCCTGCAGCTCTGTCATGGTTTTGCTTGTTCTTAGAAACTAAGCAGGAATTTTCCCTTCCCCCTGCCCATTGTGTGAAGGGGATGTTGAATGGGCAGATTGGTTGTGGCTCAGGCAATTGAAAAAAGTGGCTGGTAAAACCACATTCCAAGTCGATGGCCCTCAAGATCTTGTCTGTGGGGAGGGGTAGGGAGTTCCTTTTTACCTTTTTTTTTTCTCCTCTCCTGGGAAAGTGTAGTAGTTTTAAGACTAGGCCTTCCTTGGTGACTAGGTTGTAACCAAGGAACCAAGGCCATGTTCCCAGTATTCCATACGATTTTTACGTAAGCAAGAGTATAAATAAGAAGAGAGAGGAAACTCTCTCACTCTCTTTCTTCTGGTGGACCGAAGGCAAAGGTAGCTTTGCTGTCGCTCTGCCCGGGTGAGGGAGTGAGGCCTAGTGCATCTGGTTGGCCTTGAGAGGCAGAGAGTGCCGGCGGTTGTGTGGTGTGGTTCGCTATCTCTGGAGGGAAGTATTTGCATTATATCCCTTTTTATCCCTTTTTTCCCTTTTCCCTTTCCCTTCCCTTTTCCCCTTTGGGGGGTTCCCTGTATATAATTTTCTTTATATATATATAAATCTTCCACTTAAAATTCAGTTCGGTTTGGGTTCTTTTGATTTTCTTTTTCGTGATCTTTTTGATCAATTGCACGAGAAAGAGAGGGAGGGGGAAGGCTTTGTCCCTGAGGTCCGGGCACTTGGCTGGGAGCCAAGTCCAACCTGGGACAGAAAGGGGAGGGAGTTCGTTGTTGCTTGAGCTGGGATGGGATCCGGGTGACAGGAGCTCAGAGGTTGTTTTGTTCTCAGCCTGGCTGCCAGATGGGTATTTTGCTTGGATTTTCATTGGCGAGGAACTGTTCAGGAGATCTCTTCTCCTCCATTTTTTTTTGGTAGCAGTTCTTGTGCACATCAAAGGAGAGGGGAAGCCTTACCACATGACTCAGCCAGCAGGACAGAGTGAGGTCCCGTTGGGAAGGACCTTTTTTTAATTTCCCTCCTTTCTCTTTTTCTTTTTTTCTGGTGAGGGGGAGGGAAGACCTTCATTTTTGGCTTCTCCAGCACACCTGAGGGGCCCCGCACGTGGTGACCACTAGTGATCCAACATCGCCCCCTGCTGACTGGCACAGGACACTACAAGTTCTACATCTCCAGTGATCCAACAGCGCCCCTGCTGACTGTGGTTAGAATTGCACCAAAGGGTGCTAACTGAATTGTTTCCTTTTTTGTTTGTTTATTTGTTTGTTTTAAATGGGATTATTTTTGGGTATAGGAGTATTGTTTGGTTGTTTTATTTGTGTTCTTTCATTGTTTCTGCCAATACACATATTTCTTTTAATAAAGGGCTGTTATTCTTCCTTTTTCCACATTTTTTCTCAATTGGAGCCTCTGAGTTTTTTGGATTTACAATTGCTTAGAGGGAGGAGTTTGGGTCTTCCTCATAACTCATCCTCAGCAAAACACTTGTGTCTCATTTAAATTGAGACAAACTCCCTGCTAACTCACTTCATGCAGGAGGGCAGAGGGGAGAGGTGTGGGGAGATGCTTGTAGATGCTTCTGAATTGAAACAATGGGAGAAGCTAGGGGTAGCTTGAGCATAAAGGACATGCTTGAGTCCTGATTAATGAAGCAACTCAAAGAGGACAATAGCAATTGCAGGTTCGGTGCATCTAATCTGCTCAGAGCTTTCCAACACAATTTTGCATAATAATTTCAGGCAGAGAGTTCCTGGCTTTGTGTAGATCTCCCAGGAACCAGGGCCACCCTGGTAAGACAAAGGGTCATTTAAATGAAAGTGCATGGATGGCATGAACCCAGGACAGGAAAAGTCTACCAAACCCTTTCAAGCCTTCTTTGTTGAATTTATAGCTGTGTGCATGCACACACAGAATCACAAAGAACGGTTGAGGTCAGAAGGGACCTCTGGAGGTCATCTTGGCCAACCCCCTTGCTCAAGCAGGGCCACCCAGAGACAGCTTGCCCAAGACTATGTCCAGATGGTTTTTGCATTATCTCCAAGGAGGGAGACTCCACAGCCTCTCTGGGCAACCTGTCCCAATGCTCAATCTTACTCACGGTAAAGAAGTGTTTCCTGATGTTCAGATGGAATCTCCTGTGTTTCATTGTGTGTCTATTGCTTCTGATTCTGTCACTGTGCATCACTGAAAAGAGCCTGACTCTGTCTTCTTTGCACTCTCCCTTCTGATATTTGTATACACTGAGGAGATCCCCCCGAGCTTTCTCTTCTCCGAGCTGAACAGCCCCAGGTCTCTTGGCCTTTCCTCCTATTGAGATGTTCCAGTATATGCCAAGCAGTACAGGCAGTACTGATAGCCAGTGGCTTTTTGTTTTCTGTGTGCAATTCACGTGGGGTTGCCCTCCCTCCATTGCTTGTATGCTTTGGTCATAAGCTTTTTAAAGGAGAAGGGAAAAAAGATAAAAACGAGTGGACCTCTGCCTGAACTCAGCACCAGGCTCTTGACTGCTAAAACATCTGTCACTGCCACCACTGGTGGTGGGGGCAAGTAGAGTCTGGGTAAAGAAGGGAGCAAGGCCCAGGAGAGGTACGTGCTCTAGCATCTCGAGTTTTGTATGATGCAGGACAGCTTTCACCTTACAGCATGGCCAAGTGATACCTAAGGTGGTTGGGCTGAGACCTGCTGGTGAAGCTGAATGTTGCGATGGAAGGAAAAAAAGCAGAGAAAGGAAGGAGAAGGGAGAACAAAACAAGGGGAGAAAAGTTTGTGTGCCTGGTGGGGATGAGACCCCTCCCCTGGTTGTTATGTTCTGTTCCATGTGAGAGCTGGTGTTCCAGAAAGGCTCTGGCCCCTTCTGCTGCCTTGGGATGCAAACGTACAGAATTGGTATGGAAGCAGGGAGATGCAGGGCTGTCTGTGAGCTGAGCACTCTTCTTTCTCACCGTATATAATTTATGCTGGGATGGTGAGGCTGATGGCAGAGGAGGAAGGAAGCAGCATTTTCCCAGAGAGCAGCCAGAACAGCATTAGGGGATAGAGGACTTGCCCCTTCCCTACACAGGGAGAGGGGAAGGTGCAGGCACACACAAAGGCGAATCTAATACATTAACAGACACCCTCGGGGAATCACCCCCCTCTTCCGGTCAGGCCCAGAAGTGGACGTTATAGGAGGGAGACCAAGACGGCAGAGGAAGTCCCTGAGACGGAAGGGCAGAAGGCTACGTACTTCACCGATCCTTTCTTTCGCTCCTCTGGTGTAGTGCTGTTATTGTTTCCAGGGCGGAGGCGAGGGAGGTATAATAGCCTTCTATGCTGACTTTGTTTTCCCTCTTGCACTGAGCTCTAGCCCTTTAAGTCGTGAGGCACAGCTAATCACCTCCCCTGCCTAATTAGCAGGCTCAGCCCCCGCCTAGTGCATCTGAGCCCGTACCGGGGAACAGCGAGTGGCGGCAGCTTCCTTGCCCCACCGCTGCTACTTCGCAAGGGAGAGACTGAAAGGAAGTTTGTTGCCGTGCCCACCACCCCTCGTGCGCTGTCTGGGCAGTTGGGACCCCGTCTGCTGCCAGCTGCTTGGGGGCGGGCGTGGGGAAGTGATGCCGATCGCCGCCAATTTGCAACCTTGCGCTGTGCAGCCCGACTCCCGCCTCTTTGCTTCCGCCTGCCTGCGGAACCACGACCGGGAATCCGCAAAGTCCGGGGAGGACGGCGTTGAAGATCGATAGGATCCCCTTCTCCAGGTGGGAGAGGCGGGTAGGGAAATTGGGCTCGCCAGCACATTTGTGGTTCCTTCCGCCGTCTCCCTCTCTCCTCCTCCTGCGCTGTCACCCCCGCCTTCTCCTCTTCCCCCTCCCCCATCGCTGCCGCAGCCCTCGCCTTTCCCCCCAGCTCCCTTTCTCCTCCTGGAGCCCCTCCCTCCCCCTCCCCACGAATCCACTTCAGCTTCCTCAGTCTCACCATGAACGGGGGCGCCGCTCATTTCCAGCAGCCGCCTCCCCCCACCCTCTGCCAGCAGCCACCGCCAACCCTACACAGGCCGAGCCACCCGGAACAAGGAACTCAGAGCCAGGGCAGAGGCAGACACATCGCCGCTCCGGGCACCAGACGTCCTGTGTCAGGTAAGCAGTCCGTGTGAGTCGGATAAGTATTTTGGGGCTATTTCTCCCCCCCTCCCCCAGGTCTACCCCTTTGTTCATCTTCTCCCCCAAAGGTCCCAGAAGTTGACACCCTCCGCAACACTTCAGTGGAGTTATGCCCGCCCCTCCGGGTATGTGTCCCCACGGGAGACACGACGGGTGTCTGGACGCCAGGTGGTAAAACACCCGGGGACGGGGTAGAGACCAGAGTCGTGGTATCGCACTCCATTTGCTTTGAGGTGTCTGCCCTCAGACGTCAGAGTTTATGACCTTTTTGAGCCGTCGCCTCGCGCGGCCAGGAGGGTGCTGAGTTCCCGAGGGTTACATGAGAGCACCAGCGCACACGGGGGAGACGTCGGGGTTCCCGGAAAAGGGACTGAGAAAAAACTCTGCTAGGGCTAATTATAAAAAACAGATAAACTTGTCTGGGCTCTTGTTCGAGTTTTGTACCTCATGGCGAACAGCTGAAACTTTGGAGTGTGTCAGGGGTAAAGTGAAACAGATTCACCAAGATCGGGAGTTTGTGAAGTCTTCAGGACTGTGTTGTGAAGCCATTTCCTTCTCTGCGTATTTTCTCCTTGTATTTCTGGTGTTGGAATCGTTTAGTGGACTGGACTGCCGGAGAAAGTTTCTGAACTCTCTTGCTCCGTGAGGCTCAAAGGAGTGCATGGTTCTTCCCACAGACCCTGAGCTGAGTGTTAGGTTAGAAACATTTTAAATTATTCCATCATTTATGTGGTATTAGAAATTATGCTGTTGGAGAAGAAATACTGTAATTAATTTTGAAAGGGTACATTTGCTCTTAATGTAATAATTGTTAATATAGTATCTGTGCTGTCTTCATATTTCCTAGACTGTTGGTATAGTGTTTTATTCTTAATTTGAGATTACTGTTTTTTTACCGTGCCTTTAAATATGTCTGTACCATCGTATAAACTTTTCTTGTATTCTGAATAATACCAGGGCTGTGTAACTTTGATTGTAGTTATTCTGCTTAGCTGATTCTCCAAAATGTTATGTGAGATTCAGTGATTGTCTATGGTTAGCTCTGATCTCTTTGGTAAAGAAATAGCCCCCTAATACAGCTAATCTGTTGATCAATGTAGTAGATAGTGTATGGGTGATCTACTCTTAATTTCCTTAACGAGTGGCTGCTTGCCTTGTTACTGTCCTTTGGCTTTATTAGTATTGGAAAGTGAACTGACACACTTTTGTAAGCATCAAGTGTTTGATTTTTAGAATATTTATTTTATGGGGAAACTTGCGATCCTTCAGGAGTGACATTCGGTTCCAAAATTACATGCGTATATAAATCCAAAGCAGCCCCTAACTTGTTGACTACTTTTTTCCTTTACTGTCAGCATCTTTTGAAACTATTATTAAGACTGATATGGCTTCTTAAATTCTTGTATATGTTGGTAACTCCAAAATGCCGGGAAAACATCTTATGAAAAACCTATCTTTCTGCCTAATAATCTCTGTATATTAACCATTTGACACCCGACTTTTTAAGTGTCAGGTCCATTTAGTGATTCTATGATCAAGAGTCTATGATCTAGATAATGATATCTCTCTGAGGAACAACTTTTGACCATTTAATTCACTTTTATTTTGATATATGATATTTCCAAGACTGAGACTCTAATACTTAAATTTATGTTTATTACTGAACATGGGATTTTTTTCCAGACTGCACTGGGATTTTCCATATGATTAAATTTTAAACTCAACTCCTGCTTTAAGGACTGGAGTATTAAATGCTTTTTCACCATTGTTTGCATATGGCAATCAAAACTATTATATGTATAATATCTTAAAATCCTATATCTAAAACTATATAACTACATATAATAACCATATCTATAACATAGGTTTAATATATGCATTGTATTTATATATATATTAGATAGGCATTTATATTTATGCATTGGTGCAGGGAGCAAAGCAAACAATGAGAGATCAGTCTTTGGGATTGGAGCATGGAGAAATAGACTAATTAGTCCTTTCCTAGAATAGATTTGTAATTGTACTTATTTCTTGGATAGTTACTTAGATGACTTATGGAAGTGTGTAGTATGGATGTTTACACTCTTAGAAATCTTGCTCTAAAATGAGATATATTTTATACACAATAAGGTTCACCACTTTCCCTTGTGGTTGGAAATGTTTTAAAGGAATACCATGTTAAAAATTTATAAGGAATTTTAGTTTTTACATTTGAATTGGTTTATATGTTGCAGAAATATCTCTGTATGTATATTGGAGATCACTTCTTATATAGTTATCTCTCTTTTATAATTATGTGGACCTTTCACAAAATATGATATGTAACAGGAAAAAAAATCTTCGGATATAAGTGATCTCAGAAAGGGAAGTTATACTTGGCAAAAGTTCATTTCAATTCTGCTCTTTAGCAATTGGACATTCTTGGTGTAGTTGAACAACTCAAGTTTAAGTCTGATCCCAAATGTTCTCCTAGCTCTCCCACACTTCTGATAATCTCATAATAAAATTGACCTAGTGCATTACTGTGAAAGTAAAGGTTTTACATTGCCTGTGACTTGGAAACTCGTAGGTACAGTAAAGAAATAAAACCTTTATTGCTTGTTCAGTTCATCACAATCTTGGTAACTGTGTACCAAGATCTTGCCATTGGATTAGCGTGAGTTCACTTTCTTGCCTTTTTTCTGAAAAGGGATAGAGCTTTGGGGGGTTGTTCAAGAGTTTTGGCCTTCATTAATGCAGATCTTGTGCTAAACATTTAGTTTTTGAGCAATCTCTGGCAGAGATGTTGTTGCTGTCAGAAAAACTTGTTTGCAACTATGGCACTTGGAAGACTTAGGACCAGTTTGTTCAAAGAGTTTAGTTCTTTTATATACTAGAATTAAATGGTCAAGTTTTAAAATATGTTTGGAACTTCATAGCAAATGGTTGTTCCTTGTTACTTATAATTTCAAACTTATATAAACAGCATATGTATTATGATCTGTGATTAATATTCTAGTGTTAAGAACATGTAGATATTTTGCAGACCAAATCAGGTGGTTTGTAGACAGGAGAAAAGAAATGATTCCCATCCCACCCCGTACCCTGGGAAAAGACCATTTTGGATCTGTGAAAATCTATTTAGTGCATTTAAATATTTGCTACCAGAGAATGAGTCATGCACTTTTTTGTGGTATCAGGAAGTTGAATTTTTTTGATGTTGCTGAAAATCCTATTAGTCATATTCTTGAAAATAAGTTTCCCATTTTTGCCAAAAGGTAAAATATCAAGATCAAGACTATATTATTAAACCCTCTTCAAATTTTGGGAGTAACTAAACAGTAACAGCTAAATATATTTTACAAGTAGTATCCACAGAGATAGACACAGAAACACACACGCACAGACACATGCACACTCATAGAATCATAGAATAATTTAGGTTGAAAGGGACCTCCAGAGGTCATCTAGTCTAACCTCTTGCTCAGAACAAGTCTAATTAGGTCAAGTTGCTCAAGGCCTTGAACAGCTTCAAGAATGGAGATACTTCAACGTCTTTAGGCAATCTGTTCCAGTATTCATAGAATCACAGAATCATAGAATAGATTGGGTTGGAAAAGACCTCCAAGATTATCGAGTCCAACCCCTGATCCAACTCCAATTACTATATCATGGCACTAAGGATCACGTCCAATCTCTGTTTAAAAACCTCCAGAGATGGTGAATCCACCACCTCTCTGGGCAGGCCGTTCCAATGCCTGATTACCCTCTCTGTAAAGAACTTCTTCCTAACATCTAACCTAAACCTCCCCTGGCAGAGCTTGAGCCCTTGTCCTATTGTTGGTTGCCTGGGAGAAGAGACCAACCCCCACCTGGCTATAACCTCCCTTCAGGTAGTTGAAGAGAGTGATGAGGTCACCTCTAAGCCTTCTCTTCTCCAGACTAAACAACCCCAGCTCCCTCAACCTCTCCTCATAGGACTTGTGCTCAAGTCCCTTCACCAGCCTCGTTGCTCTTCTCTGGACCCGCTCCAGCACCTCAATATCCTTACTGAGCTGAGGGGCCCAGAGCTGAACACAATACTCAAGGTGTGGCCTCACCAACGCAGAGTACAGGGGAAGGATCACTTCCCTCGTCCTGCTGGCCACACTGTTCTTGATGCAGGCCAGGATGCCATTGGCCTTCTTGGCCACCTGGGCACACTGCTGGCTCATGTTCAACCTCCTGTCAATCAGCACCCCCAGGTCCCTTTCCACCTGGCTGCTCTCCAGCCACTCTGTCCCCAGCCTGTAGCGCTGCATGGGGTTGTTGTGGCCAAAGTGCAGGACCTGGCACTTGGCCTTGTTGAACTTCATCCCATTGGAGTCAGCCCATCTCTCCAGTCTATCCAGGTCCCTCTGCAGAGCCCTCCTGCCTTCTGGTAGGTTAACACTCCCTCCCAACTTGGTGTCATATGCAAATTTGCTGATGATGGACTCAATCCCCTCATCTAGGTCATCGATAAAGATGTTAAACAGGACTGGGCCCAGCACTGACCCCTGGGGAACACCACTGGTGACCGGCCGCCAACCGGATGCAACCCCGTTCACCACCACTCTCTGGGCCCGGCCCTCCAACCAGTTCCTGACCCAGCACAGAGTGCCCCTGTCCAAGCCATAGGCTTGATGATGGAGAGCGGCTTGGCAAGCTCTTCTACCAGCTCCCTCATTACCCTAGGATGGATCCCATCTGGTCCCATAGACTTGTGAGGATCCAGGTGGCTCAGTAAGTCACTAACTATTTCCTCCTGGAATACAAGGGGGCTATTTGGTTTCCTCTCTCTGTCTACCAGCTCCAGAGGCCAGTTGCCTTGAGGGCCACCTGTCTTACTGGTAAAAACTGAGGCAAAGTAGGTGTTAAGTACCTCAGCCTTCTCTTCATCTCTATTAACTGTTTCCCTCCAAGTCCATCAAAGAATGGAGGTTTTCTTTGCCCCTCCTTTTGTTATTAATGTATTTATAGAAGGACTTTTTGTTATCCCTAACAGAAGCGGCCAAAATTACTTCAAATTGCACTTTTGTATCCTTGATTTTCTTTCTGCATGATCTAGCTGTCTTCCTGAATTCTTCGTAAGTAGCCATCCCTTTCTTCCATAGTCAGTAAACTCTCTTTTTATCCCTGATTTCCTTCACAATCTCCCTGTTTAACCAAGCTGGTTGTCTTCCCCGCCGGCTTGCCTTTCGGCACACCGGTATGGTCTGTTCCTGTGCACTCAAAACTTCCTGCTTGAAGCACATCCATCCCTCCTGGACCCCCTTGTTTTCAAGGGTTGTTTCCCAGGGTATGCTCTGGACTAGACTTCTGAATAGGTCAAAATCTGCCCTCTGGAAGTCCAACGTAGAGGTTTTATTGTTGGCTCTCCTTGAATCTCTGAGTATTGAAAATTCTATTATTTCATGGTCACTATTTCCCAGGCGGCCTTCAACCACTACATCTCCCACCAACCCCTCTCTGTTTGTAAACAGCAGGTCTAGCAGGGCCTTACCCCTGGTAGGTTCATTTACCAGCTGATGAAGGAAATTGTCCTCTATACACTCCAGGAAATTCCTAGACTGACTCTTCTCTGCAGTATTGAGCTCCCAGCAGATATCCGGCAGGTTAAAGTCACCCACAAGGACAAGGGCTGACGATTTCGAGACATCTGCCAGCTGCTTGTAGAATAATTCATCCCCTTCATCATCCCGGTAGGGCGGTCTGTAACAGACACCCATGATGATGTCGACCTTGTTGGTCTTCCCCCTGATTCTGGTCCACAAGCACTTAAACTTATCGTTGCTGACCTCAAGTTCAACAGAGTCAAGAGACTCTCTAACATATAAAGCCACCCCTCCACCTCTCCTACCCTGCCTGTTCTTTCTGAAGAGCTTGTAACCTTCCATAGCAGCACTCCAGTCATGCGAGTCATCCCACCACGTTTCTGTGATGGTGACTACATCATAGCCTTCCCGCTGCACAATGGTTTCCAGCTCCTCTTGTTTGTTGCCCATACTGCGTGCATTAGTATACGTGCACTTGAGGTGGGCTGCTGATTTCATTCTTAACTCAGGTTTTCCATCCTTAGGCTGATCACTGGGGAGCCCGGTTTCAACCCCTTCCCCCTTCAAACCTAGTTTAAAACCCTCCTGATCATCCTGGCTAACTTATGGGCTACAGTCCTCTTCCTCTTCCTAGAAAGATGAATTCCATCTGATTTTAAGAGACTAGGTACCATGGAGTTTGCCCCATGGTCAAAAAAACCAAAATTTTGATGGTGGCACCAATCCTTTAGCCATCTGTTGATGAGTTGGGCTTTTTTACTCCTCTCTTTATTTAACTCCTCATCCATCCCAGATAGTACAGGAACTGAGGCAAATATCACCTGTGCTCCTGTCCCCTGAACTGACCAACCCAGTGCTTTAAAGTCTTTTTTAATTATCGTGGCACTTCTTCGATTAATGTCCTCACTGCCAGCCTGGACTACCACCAGTGGATAATAGTCTGAGGGCTGAATTAACTCAGGAAGTCTCCTACTAATATCTCTCACCCTGGCCCCAGGAAGGCAGCATACTTCTCTCTGGGATGGGTCTGGGAGACATATAGGGCCCTCAGTTCCCCTCAGAAAGGAGTCACTGACTACAACTACCCTTCTTTTTTTTATACCTGTGGTTGTAATCTGTCTTGTAGACAGGGCCGAACCAGGAGGCTCTCCAGAGAGATCTTCTTGGCTGTCCTCTACCTGACTGTCTGGGTCCAGGGTCTCATATCTATTCTTCAAGGGCACCCTGGGGGGTGATGGGGGTCGAGAGAGAGTTCTTTTACATCTCCCATTAGGGACCTGTTTCCATTCCCCCCCATCAATTTGGTCTGCTCCATCTGCCTTATGGCAGGAGGGGCAGGGTTTCACCGTCTCCTGTTGGACTTCCTTAGGGTTCAAAAGGGTTTGACTCCACCAGTCAATTTCCTTTTCACTCTCCCTAATGCACCTTAATCTCTCTACCTCTTCCTTAAGTTCTGCTACCAGGCACAGCAAGTCACTCACCTGCTCGCATTGTACACAGCTACCTCCTATACCATCCTCCGGTACCATTGTCAGGCTCAGACACTCAGCACATCCAGAGACCTGGGTGGCTGCATCCTTCTTCGAGGGGAGTGTCTGAGCAGACACACTCCTAGTATTAACAGCAGCAATGGCTTTTGTTTTTCTGGAAACCATTGCTAGCTTTAAAAAGCACACTCACCTACGAGAAGTGGGAGCTGGTTGTGCCCTGCCTGCTTGAAACACTTTGCACTTGCTAACGAGCCCAACCCACCCCTCACTCACCCGAATCGGTTGCGGGGAGGAGCCAAACCTGGGCAGCAAATGGCCAAGCAGCTCTTCTGGAGGCTCTTATATAGCCTCCCCTCGCACTTGCTAATGAGCCTGACCCACCCCTCACTCACCTGAATCGGTTCCAGGGAGGAACCAAGCCTGGGCAGCTCCAGGAGGGAGAGAAACAACAAAAAACATCCTCCCCAATGGGAAAAAAACCTCACTCTTTCAGCTGACCAAATCGTGCAGTATAGTTTTCCTTCTCCCTTTTATGTGCACAAGAACCACTGCTAAGAAAGAAACAAATGGGAACAGGGAAGGGAAAAGAAAGAAAGAAAAAAAAAGAACTCCCAAAACACTTCCTCTCCAATGAAAAATCCAAGCAGAATCCACAGCTGGCAACCAGGCTGAGAACAAAACCCCACGGAGCTTCCACTCTGACCTTTTTCCAGCTTTAGTAGCCAGCCAGAACTCCTCCCACCCCGTTTCCCAGGAGATGAGAGAAAAAAAAAAGAAAGAAGTTCCTCAACCCCATTTCTCAAAAGATGAGATTCTGAGGCCGTTAACTAGAAGGCAGCTTCTTCTGTGCTCCTTAACTGCCCACTTAACATCCCTGCACGCAGTGGGCAGGGGGAAGGGAAAAATTCCTGCTTAGTTTCTAAGAACCAGCAAAACCATGACATTAAGATAGAATTATGTCAGCCAAACATAGAACTGAAAACCTGAATGAGATGCAAGATGTAGGGGGGAGCCACAGATCTGAGTCTGCACATCTTGCCCTATCCCTCAGCAAAGTGGTCATCTGGCAATAGTTGCCAGCAGCAACCATCCCAAACCACATGTTGGTCAGAAGCCTGACTGGAGAAGGATTAGGAATGTTTTCAGTCTGTGAGAAACAAAGTCTCGAGTTATGGTAGGTTTTCGAATAAGAATTTATTATATGGAAAAAGCAAACAGCATGCTGGACGCAGAGTGGAGTCTTCACTCCAAAACCTCTGTGTGTCCAATACAGTATTTGACTACCATTTATTCTACTTATTTCATGCATATTCATTACATCATATACATTTAACATATGTTTATTTTCACAACTAGAGCTAGGTTGTTATCTCTACAGCAGTGATAGTTTTCCTATAATTCATATATTCTTGGACAACAAGGCACCTAGAAGATCATTGACTTTACAGAATTCTACCATAATTCATTTTAGGAAAGCAGAGATGGTTTATGGCTTTTGACCTTGATGACCTTACAAATGGTCTGCCTTATTTCTTTATGGGGGTACAATTAAGTTTTACAATCTCTTTGTTTTATTCTTTTACTGACACAAATTATGGCTATGAATATTACAATCCCTCCCCCTTTTCCATTAACTTATTAATTCGTGTCTTTCGCTCTAATTTGGACAATACAAATTTTGTACATTTTTCATTTTGGTTGGTTGGGTCTTGGGCAATTAATAACACTTTGGCTCTTTTTGCAGCTTCTAGATCCATGGGCATAGTAGATATCTGTATTCTCTACTATTGAGACTATCAATTTTTTAAAACAAGGAATCAAACATGATAAAAATATAATACTCGTTAAAATACATCTCTGTCTCATTGTATAGAGTTAAAAGTTTCTGAATGTCTTTAGTCTCCATTTGCTGGTCTTCACTTGAATTTTTATTTTCAAATTCTCTGTTGGTTGTGTTTTCTACACAGGTCTTGGGGTCTTTTTAACTCTGGTGTATTGTATTTAAGGAAGTTGTTTTTTGGTTTTGATTGTAGTGTAAGTAGTCAGCAACACTTGATATGGACTTCTCCTCTTTTGGCTCCAGGGCCTGTAAAAGGTCTTACATACACATAGTTTTTGGGTACAATATTATGAATTGGCCCATCGGGGCCACAAGCTTGTGTCTTCAGGACTAGGTTTTCAATATTTTTAAGTTGTTTTTGCAAATGTGTAATATAATTTATTAATGTTTTTGTTCCCACTTTACTTGACACTTCTTCCTATACTATATAGGGCTTTTCGAAAAGTATTTTTTGATTAGTTCACTAAGGATACACCTCAGGTCAACCTGAAAAAGTGTCAGTGAAAATGAGCAAATATCCAAACACCCCTTTTCTGGGCAGTTCTGAAAAATCAATTTGCCACTGTTGTCCTGGAAAATTACCTTTCCCTATTTGTCTAAGTTGAAGTTGGTTATGGGTGCCTGGGTTGTTCTGCAAACAAATTTCACACCGTTGGGTCACCTGCCTCACAGTGGTATAGAGATTTTGTGTTATTATATTTTGGCTTAGATATTTGTATAGAGCTTCTGTTCCCTATTGATTTCTTGTGTTCTGTCATGATAAGGGCCCATAAAATAGAAGAGGGTATTATTAACTTACCATCCGGTGTCTTGGCCCATTTGTTTTCTTCTATTTCTTCTAAATCTTGGATTCTTCTTTAGAGTATCTAGGCTCTATATTAGATTGCTGAATTTGAATCTTACCATCAGGGATCAAAGATTGGATTTTGCTTTCTTCTGCTTCGGCTACCCTTTTCGCCTCCTGATCAACCATGGCATTTCTTCTTTCATGGTCAGTAACACCCTTTTGGCGAGCTTTGCAATGCATAATAGCAACTTTTTCTGGCAGCTGGACTGCTTGTAATAGTTTAAAGATTTCATTTGCATATTCAATAGACTTTCTTTGCCTAGATAATAGTCTTCTTTCTTTTCAAATTGCCCCATGAACATGAACGACTCTGAATGCGTATTTTGAGTCCGTTTAGATATTTATCTTCTTTCTTTTTGTGAGCTGCAGTGCTCAGGTTAGCGTTATAATTTCTGCTTTCTGGGTTGAGGTATTGACAGGGAGGACTCTTGCTTTAATTACCTCATTTACAGTGGTTACTGCATATCCAGCCTTATGTACTGTTCTCCAGATGAAAACTGTTCCCATCTGTGAACCAGGAGTCCTCATCATCTTTCAGGGGTTCCTCTTTCAAGTCTGGTCGGCTAGATACACTGCCTCTACTGTCTCTAGGCAGTCATGTGTAACTGTATCTCTGGTGGTCCCCTGGAGAAAAGAAGCTGGATTGACAATATTGGTGACTATTATCTCTATATCATCCTGTTCAGTCAGTATGGTCTGGTATTTAGACCATGACTGGAGCCCTCATCAGTTCTTGTTTTAGCTCACGAAAGGCTTTGTCAGCTTCCTTATCTCAAGTGAGTATTTTGGACTCACCTTTCATGAGTTCATACAGAGGCTTTACCAGAAGTCCACAGTTGTAGATCCATAAGCGGCACCATTCAGTCATTCCGAGAAAGGTTCGGAGTTCTTTGATTGTCTGTGGCTGGGGAGTTTGGCAGATAGCTTCCTTCTTCGCTGTTCTTAGGGTTCGTTGTCCTGCAGTGATTTCATAACTGAGATAGGAGATCTACTGCATGGCCACTTGAGCTGTCTGTGAAGAGACTCGGTACTCAATCTGAGAAAGTTTAGTATACTAACAGTCCATTCAATACATATTCCTTTGGATTTAGTTGCAATTAAGAGATTATCTACATGTTGCAGTAATACCCTTTTTCTCAGTGGTCGTTCCCATTGTTCTAAGTCCTTAGCAAGCTGGTTTCTGAATAGAGTGGGACTGTTCTTAAAACTTTGTGAGAGAACTGTCCAGGCAAGTTGGACTTTCCTTCCTATGCAAGGATCTTCTTATTCAAAAGTGAATTATAATTGACTTTCAGGGTTCAAAGGCAGGCAGAAGAAAGTATCCTTTAGATCCAGGACGGTAAATTATTCTAGCTCTGGTGTTAGTTTGGTCAGCATTTGTCCCAGTTTAAATGGGACAAGGGTCTTTTGCTGAGGATGAATTAGGAGGAAAAGACCCAAACTTCTTTTTCTAAACAATTATAAATCCAAAATTAAGAGGCTCCGATTGAAGGAAAACAAGTTATGGAAAAGGGAAAACAAAAAAATAACAGCCCTTTATTAAAAGGTATGTGTGCATTAACAGGAACATGAAAAAACTAAGTAAAACAACCAAGCAATACTCCTATACCCACCAATAATCCCCTTCAAGAACAAAACCGATAAACCGGCAAAAGGAAAATTTAAATAGTTCAATTTTTAGCATCCTTTGGTGCAGTTCTAGCCACAGTCAGCAGGGGGCGCCGTCGGGTCACTGGAGATGCAAAATTTGTAATGTCTTGTACCGTTCACCAGGTGGCGCTGTTGGGTTACTGAAGGTGCAGAACTTGTAGTGTCCTATAGTAGTCACCAGGTGGCGCTGTTGGATCACTGGGGGAGTAGAACTTGTAATGTTCAGTGCCCGTCACCAGGCGGCACTGTGAGATCCTTGGCTGCTGCCAGGTGGGGGGGGGGAAGAAGGGGAAGGAAAAACAACAGCAATAAAACAGAAAGTTCTCCCAATGGAAGAAAACTCACAAACTTCAGCTGATTAGGGTCTGTTGTAAGCAGGGCCTGCAGCCAACCACAACTGAGCCGAGAGCAGCAGCAAAAAACTCTCCTCCGACAGGAAAAAGACAAAGAAACCCGGCAGTGTCTGCAGCCCGCAGCAGGCTCCCCTCAGGGCAGAGAGACTGAGCTCTCCCCCCCAGCCTCCACCCCCTTCCAGTCACACACCAGCCAACTCCTCCCCCTTCATTGTCAAGGAGACTAATCTCGACCATTAGTGGATCCAGGCCGATTCTTTTGTTCAACTAATGGCCCATATACAGAGCACACACACACGGCAGGGGGAAGGGAAAGAAAAATTCCTTGCTAAAATCGGAACTATGACAGCAGTGTATATGGGTTTGCCACTACAGGATGCAAGTCTTTAGTTATTTTATTAATTGCTCTCAGATCTTGCACTATCTTATATTTCCTATCAGGTTTTTTTACTGGCTAGATTGGAATATTATATTTGATTCGCACTCTTTTAATAACTTTTACTTTGATAATGTTATCTTTTGCTCTCTCTCTGGGGTTTCTAAAGCTCATACTTCAGGGAATACTTGATTCACTACCCTTTCCAGGTACACTGCCTGAATTTTAGGTCTCTACTGGGGCAAGACTTAAAATCTTAATTAATTGCCTCTTTTATTTTGGACTTTATTTTTCCCTTCTTAAATTTAATCTTGACTCCCAATTGCTCTAGTAAGTCTCTTCTTAGTAAAGAGACTGCCGTAGTTTGGCATGTAGAAGAATTTCTGGATTCCAAATTGTTTTGTTTTAAAATTTAAACCTTTTTCCATTTGGTCTATGGCTCCCCTTACTGATACAAAACTTACATCAGTAGGTACTGAAGCTCTGGTTTAATATAGAAATGTAGCTCTTGAACCTCTTAAAATGCTGTTAAATTGTTGGGACAGAACATTTACAGATATAACAGAGAATAACAAATTAGTCTTCTTTGTTTACTCATTCCTGACTTGTTTCAGGAATTTTTATTACAGTTCAAAACCTTCTTATTTTGGTGCATCCCACTTGCAGTTGTCAAAATATTCATTCATTTCTGCACAGAAGTTGTTTCTATCCATACCACTTTCAGTCTGAGTTCTGGTGGCACAGTTCTCAGGTCTGTCTGCTGAAATAAACTTTCTGCAAACAGACAACTTCTGATACATTGTTAGTTCACATTGAGAGCAAAACAGTAACTCTCCTTCTGATTTTTGTCACAGCCCCCCTTTTTCCCAAGTTCAATCAGGACACAAAAGGGCAGGAATATTCACAGGTTATGAGCTTGAAACAGATTTAGAGTAAATAGAGGCTAATAAAGCTAGCTCTCCTTTCCCCCTCCTTTTCACTTTAGCCAGTCCAAGGGGGAGAGGGGAGAGGAGTCAGCAGTGACCTGTCGAGGGGGAGAGTGGGGGGATCGAACTGCCCTCGGTAACCAAAGCAACCGTTTTTCTACTCACTGCAAAAGCGGCGATTCCCCCCCCCCTCCCCCGCAAGGGTCAGCGGCGGTTTAGCCCATAAATACACCTTTCCCCCTCCTTACTCCACTCACTCGGGCTGTCACATTGCCTCCTTTTTGTTTTAAAAGCATGATTTTCAATATAGAACACACATCAAAACTATCTCCATGTACATATCTTAAGACAACAAATAATCTGGCATTGTTTTAGGTTTGTGAGGATTCCCAAAGCACAAACCTTCAGACACATGTAAGCAAAGCAACTTTATCTTATTATTTGCAATAATATTCAACACATACTAGTCTCTGAGTTCCCAAAAAGCCACTGAGCAGGTGAGGGAGACAGAGCACAGTACACGGTGGTGGGGTGCAGGCAGGCCACACAACCCCCCCAGGGTGTTTCCCGAATCAAAGTGGCGTGCATCCCAGTCCCCTGAGTGGCACCCCCCAACTGCAAAACCACACAACACTTTCTCATGCCACCACAGCAGGGCTTCTAATACAACCCAGATTTCTAATACAAGTACAAAATAATCAATCAATTTGAAGCCCTAACCTCTTTCCCCAACCTCAGTACATGCAGCCCCTTCCCTCTCTATCGATTTCAACACTGTTCTTAACTTTCTTTTTAAAGCATAAAACACACCACAGAAGTAAGTTCCTTCTTCTTAAGTTACTAAAACCAAAGTTGTAGACTTTTTCGTCCTACTGCTGCAGATGGTACTGCTTCAGCTTCTTTCCCCCCCCCCAACTTTTTTTGTGGTTTTTTTTTTTTTTTTTTGCTTTAACCGCTTCTACCGGCCCCCTCTTCCCCCCCTACTCTTTTCGCAGTTCCCGTGTGGTGGTCTCAGTCCCAGCACGATTTTTGCTGCCGAATTTAGATTTGCTTTACAGGAGGCCTTGTAAATTTCCCTCTCTTTGTTTCACTCATTTTGATTGTATTTTTGCTGACTTTACAACTTTCGGGAACTCTGGTTATACACATTCAATTAGCTTCAGTATTTACCAGGAATTTTATATTTTTTCATCCTGAGGTCTTAATTTAATTTTATCGAGAGCTTGTTATGATGTTTCATTCTCAGGAAATAGAGGTCTTGACGCTCTTAATCTCATTCAGCTTATTCAAATAGTTTAAGGTCTCTCTGTCTTTTTGGACAATTTCTTTTCAGGTGGCCTTTTCCCTTACAATAAAAACATTTTATCGCCTGGACCCTTGGAATAATTTGCTGGGGTCTGCTCACATATATGTTTTGGGCTTCTCTCAGTAAGTCTTTGAGCCCCCTGTTCTGCCATCCATCTAATTTTTTTCGTTCCTTTCTAATATCACTCCAGGCATGATTTACAAAGTGGACTTTCAACAGTATTTGACCAGCTGGGGTCTTGGGATCAAAGCCTAAATATTGCTGTAGATTTTTCTTCAGCCTTTCTAACCATGCACTAGGGGTCTCATCAATTTCTCCATTGCATTCAGGAGGATCATAGCTCAGGATTTGTCTGTGCCGCCCTCCCTTCCTGC